ACTTTCATGGTTACCAACATAGAGTTTAATTATCGATACGTATTTATCGTATTAAACTTATTGTTTGGAAAAGAAATGGACTGCAATAATGTTTCGTTCTGAAATATTCTTATACATCAAAATTATTGTTTGCCGTCTTGACGGACTACTATTATAATAATAAAAATAATAAATAACAAATTATTGGTGGCACAAAATGTTCTGGCCAACAAGGGGGAAATAATAATAATAATCTATATATAAAATATAATAATAATTATGTAGAACAATAAATTATAATAAGAATAATAATAATAAAAAAAAAAAAAGGACACGACCATAATTATGTCGAAAACCACACAGAGACGAGGGCTCCCCAGACTTGACACCGAACTGATGATGATGATGATGATGATGCTGATGGCGAAGCTCGTGTAAACGATATCGACATTGATGCCAGTGAACAATAACAATAGAAAAACAATAAAAAGAAAAACAACAAAAAAAAAAAAACGGTAATGTTGATGGCAACGGTGGATGTAAAAATGACGGTTATAATTTTTGTAAAACGAAGCACGCACACAAAAACGACCGTGAAAAATACACAATGCGATGGTCCGTGCGATGCCCGTTTCCACCAAAAGTAGACCTTTCCCTTTTCCACCAATACCCGTTTACACCAAAAGTGTGTCATTCCCTTTTCCACCAATATCCGTTTCCACCAAATGAGATATTGACCACGTTTTTACCAAAACAATTGTATACCACGCTTAAATTAAAACCTATAGTACAGAAATAACTTTATTTAACATGTAATATTAATTTAATAAATGTAAAATCATTGTATAATATATACAATATAGGTTGGAAAATGTTAAATTTTATTAAAAAAATGGTCATATAAAAAGGTGAAAAAAATGATTTATTATGGTATACGATACCTTAGTTATGTAAATTATAATATATATACAGAATTAATTGATATTTGTTAAATGATCCAATAAAAATTTTAAAGTTGTTTAGTACTAGCGTCTTATTTTCATGTTTACTTTCGAAAACTTTAGCCATCATAGAATTATAAATTTTACAATGTTTATTTTATTTTATCACACACGCAGTTGTAATGCACTATTTAAACTGTGCCATATTTTCACTTGTTCATAAAATATTTGATAATTTAGATATTATCATGGTTAATGAACTTAAGAGTACATGCATAAGTACGATAACAGTTTAACATACAATTAAATACAACAAATGTATAATATACATTGATTATATTGTGTGTATATTTATATATATTTTACATCAATCCAAAAAACTCATGAAAAGTATAGGTATTCTATCTCATTTGGTGGAAACGGATATTGGTGGAAAAGGGAAAGGTCTACTTTTGGTGGAAACGTGTTACGCCCGACGGTCCGTATTGAAATTTGCAGTGTGGGCAGTATATCAAACGTAGATACCAGCTTAATGCAATTAAAGTTGTGATATGCTAATAATACGCTCAACACGTATTAATTTTTTTACGATTCTAGTATTAAAATATATCTCTTATTGCTTTTCTTTTTGCTGTTTAATTATTTCAATCGGTGATAATGGTGCAATTGATGTATTCAAGATTGAAGAAAATGTTTGTAAATATGATTTAATATAACCTAAATACCTTTAACATAGCTTAAAATACTTTGCATTAATTTTAATTATGAAGTATTTAACCATGTACATGCTTTGAATAAAAAATTTAATTAAGTAACTGAAATTCAGGAGTCAGTTGTTTCTGTCAAAAACCTTAAATTTGATTTTATTTATTTTTAAACACAAACTATTTGTTTATTTATTTGTATTAATATATATATGATAACCATTTAATACTTTTTAATTTTATTTAAATTTTTTATTATTTTATTATTTAAAAATATTATTCATTAAAATTCATATGATGAATTGGTATGTAATTTTTTGTATGATTTGTGATTGATAAAACCATAACAACCATTTTGCTTCAATAAATATTAAGTAGCAGACTTTATTACCTTGAGTGTATTCCGCGCCATTATCTTATTGTGAATTGCGGCGTTACATACCTTAATTGGATATGCAGTGTGTCTAAAAAAAGTATTTTCATCAATATTTTCGTAGATCACTTTAATTCAACCATAATTAAATATTTAAGTTCTAGCAAGAAACCTTAAAAAATGAAATTAATTCTTGATTTTGTATTGATAAAAATAGTTAGCAACACTGGTCTATAGAAACAAGGGTTTTGACCAGTTAGTATTACCATTATTTAAAAAAATAAAGTAAAATAGTACAAAATGATAGAATCAAATTTATAAGTTTGCAATTATAAATAGCTTATATTGTATTTGATAATAATTACTAACAAAATTGTCGGATACGCCTTTTTCTATTTCATGGAGCTGGTAGTGTGAACTAATGAACCTCCACCACTGTCATTAGTTCACCTTTATCGGTTGCGGTTTCGGTTCCCCGCACGTAACTATTATCGTGCGCGCGGTGTCGCGTTCTAGTGAATTAACGATATTTATTAAAATACGCTATAAATCGCATGTTTTTTTTTCGATATTGCCCATTGGGCGATATATAGAAATTATTGTAATACCTTTCTTCGCCGTCGTGTTTTTTTTTGTTTTTTTGCCGAAAAAATATTTTTTTTTTTCGTCGTGTGTGCGTCATCGCTCGCCATCGACAATTGAGTTCCGCTGCCATTCATGTGAGTTGGTCGCGCCCCTTGCTGCCACCAATAACTCAGCTTCATCGCCATCCGTCGTCACATTACGAACTCTACTTAAGGTTTCATCCGTTGATTTTAATTTTGTAATATTTTATTGTTAATTTTAGATTTGTAATTTTTATGTTTACCTAGATATAAGGGCCCCTCTGTTCCGATATATGTTTAAGTTTTAAGATTTATTTATTATACAGTCCACCCTTCAGTCATTTATCTTTTCTTGTTCTTTCGTTATTATTCTCATTGCCATTTTTACTTTCCTGCTCACATATTCACGTTTCCATAACTCTCCATCGAAAGTCACCCACGGAGACATCGTGCATACAAAAATAATTTAAATACAAAAGTCAATAAAATAATAAAAATTAAAATTATGTCATTCATTTTTAAAAAATAAGTAGTAATAAAATTAATTATAATATATGTATTATGTTTTGTTATGATAATTACTAATACATTTTACAAAATCTTATAAATACTGATATTTTTGTTTTTATATTTAATTACAAAATCTTCGATTCTGGCATTTTTGTTTAAGTACTCGTATATGCGATTAGTAATATTTGTAATTTCGTTTATACTGCTTATAGCAATGTATGTTTTTTTTTTGGTACTTCTTATATAACATTTACAAAAACAAAAATGTTCGGGTGTTCACTACTTAAGTTTCTAGTAAATGACGAATGATAGATTCATATGCATTAGTAGCCTTTTCTGAATTAATTGAATACATAGCCCACATTGAAGGTGGAAAAGTCGAACTTGAAGAAATATATGTTAGCTAAATAGTCAGAAAATTCAACTAATTTTTCTGATAAAGACTGAATTAAAATCAGATCTTCAACAAAACAATCGTCTACTTTATTAGAGGGTAGTAATGAGAGACCGAAAATTAAGTGAAACCATTTTTCAATTTTTGAATATGGATCCATATAATCCGGCTTTAATCTTAAATGTTGTATGCGTTTCAACCATGACTGAGTTTGATGAAATCTGCAACCCTAGGGTTAATTAATGGACAAATAACTTTAGAAACTATGTGTATACTTTGTTGGAAATCGGATACAATAATTGACGGATTGAATTTTAGTTCAAAGCCAGAGCATTTTTCTTTTAACATATTAAATAATAATTCTTACGTTTTCGATGATTTGTTAGGCAGTATTGAAAACGGTAATGAAATGTTATGTCCATTATTGACACAGTATATTGTAAAAATTTGTAAAAAAAATTTCACATAGTATTCAAATGTTCCGTCTACAAAAATTTTATCTCGGGAACATAACAATTTTAAATTTTATTCTATAGTAAAACATATTATATTTTGGTAGTGGTGGAAATGTTTTTTCTCACACGATAAATGCTTCTGCAAATGAAGTTTACATTGTTTAATGCTACACCTACGAACTTGATTGAACTTCTCGTTTTAATTTAAATGGGTATTTAGAAATTTCATTCACAGCTTTCCGTTATAAATGATTAGAAATAGTTACTTTTTACGTGGCGAATTCTTGTATTCGATAATCGCTTTTAAAAGCATAATTTCATCTTATACAGATCTATACAGATTTAACCTACCCGACTTTAATGTTCATCGCCACTTCACATCCGTTTTTGTAATGTCATCTAAAAAATTAAATTAAATTTAAAACCAACTTCTTATTATTAACTTTGCCCTTTTCACAATACACTCGCGTAATATTTTCCTTTGTGTTAACAACTTCAATTCTTTTCGTCTACTAAAATATACCTATCGAAGACATAAGTAAATATCGTACCATATTATAATGTCTAACACCACAAAAATACTAATAAAGATATAACAAATTATAATAACGAGCGTATTGCGATAAAGCCTAATGTAATTGTCGTTACTCGTTACCTATATATCAGCTATCTATTTAGGCTATATCATTTTATACTATTTTACTTTATTTTTATAAATTATTTTATATTTTATTTATAATTTGTATATCTACCTCCTCTATTTTACGGGCTATATATTATAACCGTATATATATATATATATATTAACATATAAGGACAAATAGTACATTTTTCTCTATGTAATTTAAGGGGAATCGATATAAAAAAGGTACTTTTAGGGGTAACTGGTACAAACCCAGCTTCAGTTAATCCGTTATGGCTTCAGATTCAATGAGTGGAATGAAGAAATAATAAATATAATAATAACTATTTTAATTAAAATATTAACATTTTTTTCTGATACCCTTCTAATATTATTGAATTTTTTTTTTTATTTTAGGTGTCATTTTGGTCCACTAGTCCAGAACTGAGCAACAAACAGCGATTCGAATACTTCACGCGAACTATCCCTTCGGATCTTTATCAAGTAAAGGTCATGGTAGAAATTGTTCGAAGACTTGGCTGGAGTTACATATCAATCATATACGAAGAGTCCAATTATGGCATCAAAGCTTTCGAGGAGTTAGAAAAATTATTGCCCATGCATAACATTTGCATTGCGGCCAAGGAAAAATTAGTGAAAGATTCCGGCGTAGCTGAAGAAAAAGCTTACGACGACATCGTGATCAAACTGCTCAGCAAGCCCAGGGCGAAAGGTAATAAAGTGTTGAGTTTTCGACTGTAAGTTAGCAAAATATCCCGTAGAATTCTAAACGTTGACGATCGATTGCAAAGTGTTAATCCTAAGCATATACGAACATTTTTCTCGTAATTAAGATATTCACATTCGCACATGCGATGAAGTTTAAAAGGACATCATAAGTAAATGCAATGTTACTGTCCATAACAATTGTGTATATTTTTAATTAAAATATACGTATCACTAACTCATATCACGCACACGTGTTCTTGTTCTACGATTTATTTATCTGGAGTTTTATTGTGTGTAGGCTCCGGAAACGTCAAAAATTCTCTTTTTGATATTTATTATTTAATTAATATAATAATATATGAATATACATACTTCGTATATTTGAGTGCTGAACGAATTTAATATAATTTATGATATTAATACATTGTACTGTTGGATCAGGGTAGACTTATGTATCAACAATTGTAATAATATATAGTGAGACGATTTTTTAAAACGTACTGAATTGTATTCAATTTCTAAATTAATTACTACGATACTCTTTCTGTTTCAAATATTGAAAAAGAATCAAAAAACCTTATAAAACGATTGGTACATTTGTCGAAAATCACAATAAACTCGTATCCAATCTAAAAGTGGTTTTTACGACCGAATCCACAGACGTATATCGTTACTTTTAAATTTACATAGGGAACCCTCGTGTCTTTCAGTCAATTGTGTTATATTGACTGTTTGAACTTTTTATTTAAATTAATAACGGTTTAAATACTTAAATTAAAAACATTATATACCCTAATGTTCACTTATATTGTAATACGTTTCATATGTAAAATACATATCACTAATCAATACATCTATACTATTTAAGTGAAATGTAAGTGTTAAGCTGTTGTAATTATTCATAAGCAATATGTAAGTATAAAAAATATTAAATTTACATTGCTCATAGTAACTAAATTATTTTAGAATAAGAGTTAATATATCTTAATTTACCTTATTATATTCGATTCTTAAAAGTATAAAACATCATTCGGGATGAGCTGTACTTTTTGGTCAAATAATTAATAATTTACTTAATATTGTTGTCCAAGAATATTCGAAATCTTATAAAATACACGTCGAGCGTAGTTGAAAACAATATTACATACGAGTATACCTTAATAATCAAATATGATCAGTTTCCAAAATGTGAACATTTCTAATATATTTAACAAAATGATCACAATATTTTCAAGGGCTTTCGAAATCGACAATAACTTTACTTATAGTTAATATAATATCCCATTTGACCTTCAATCCAAACGTACTATCTAAAAATAAAAATATTCGCACAAAATAAATAAATCACAATAGATGCAGTAAATTGAGATAGTTAATAGTGTATCAAGAACTTTGATAATTTAGTTTTCTCGTAAAAAAAAATCATGGTGTTGATATTTGATTACGTTTTATCTATTCTAAAAATATTTTATCATATTTTAGATTTATTTTCTAGAACAAATAAACTTTAATTTATTTATTTTGCGTAAAAAATTTTGAATACTTTATGTATATAAACCTTTTTAGGTTTATTGTACAATATACAATTTTATTCTTAGGTATCAATACTTGGAATTACTGTTTTTTCAAGATTTTTCTCGAGACTCGAAGGAAAACATGTATTCACTTTATATTTAGTAAACATTCCATTATAAATATTTTTCATTTTAACACAATATTATTTTATTATAAATACCCATATTTAACTTGATTCCACAGCCAATGATTCAAATCAATTGAATCTAAAATTTCATTAGAAATTTAACATGCTATAATTGAAAGTACTAATAATGTTGTGTAAAGGTAAAATAAACATTCGTACCTGTATCTAATTTCAAAGATTGAAACAATCTAGATAAATTTTTTCTGTGTATAAATAATGTATTGTTTAATACTGTGTCCTCATAATATAATATGAAAACATGCACTAAGTTAAATTTTGCAGTCTAATAATGTCTAAGAATGTCTTATATAATGATTTTTAATTAAATTTTAGATTTTTAGTGAATAAATAATGCATTGATTTTACTACTGTGTGCTTTTTTTTAAATATTTTTTTTTTTTTGCTTGATTCACACTATTTAGACATATTTTTCAAATGTATTGTTTTATTTTAATCCTAGTATATAATTTTGAGCAGAAAGATTCCTCCCATCTGGAATTTTGACTTTGACTTACTCCCCAATATTTCCTTGGCATAATTGTTTTTTAGACATTTCCGTAATTTTTGTTGTTTAGAATTTTAGGTTATTAACGACTCTTGTCGGTTTTGATTTATCGAAATTTATCTTATTTTTGTTCTTTCAGTGATTTGAACTTTATCATATTCTTTTACTTCTTGAAGTATTTCATTATTTTAATTGTTATTAGAAAGAATTTGTATTTAATATAATACAGTTTGTAGTTCTCCTTTGGTTCTTAATTTTTCATTCATAGTTATAGGAAGTATTGTAGATGTTAAACCAATTTTTGAGGATGTACTAAACATTGCTTCATACGATGAATGTTAATTACTGGATAAATCTCAAGTTATTGCCAAATTATTTTATACTATTGTCTTGGAGCCATGTTGCGAGTATGTTTTCGATATTTTGGCTTACTCTTTTAAGTAAACTTTTGCTTTAAAAGTACCTCGGCTTACCGTAAAATATTTTAAAATATTTTCTCATAGTGCAAAATTTAGGGATTATTTTATTTATGAATTTACGTTTGTTTTCTCTTTGGATAATAGCGAGTGCCCGAAAAAGGGCAAATATATCTAATAATACATTAGCAACTGCTTTTATGTCTTAAAGGTTCTATTACAAATTCTATTACAAATTTTTCAAATGATCTTGGTTAACACTTATACATTTTTAATCTTCATCTGGTTGTACTTGCATATCAATAAGGTTAATTTGACACTTGAATTAATTCCCAAAGAAATAATTGGCTGAACTATCAATCCTTTTTTCACCGTACTTCCTTTTTTCCGACATGATCCACAAATGTTTAAATATATTGTTGTCTCTCTAGTAACATTTTTATACTTTTTATCGTATCATATTCCATATAATTTCTAACACCGTGTCCATTAGATATATGTGTTTCATGTACAATTTTTTATAATTTTTCATTATAAACATAATATTTTACAATCTTACCTTCTGCAGTTATTAGCATAATAATTAGTCATATTTTTTCATTAATTTTATATCTGTTTTTTTCTCTTGCTTTAGTTGTTTTAAATTATTAATTATTTCGTATTCTTTTATTTTATTACAAAAGTATTGTTTCTTTTTTCACTTTAATTATTTTGCTTAAATTTTTATAAAATATAAATTCCATTTTATAAAATAACACACGTCGCAGCCAGTGCCGCAACTACCGCAGGTGCAGGTGGTGTAAGGAACTGTCTGATGGGCTTTAAAATATTTGTATTGGGACGCCTTGGATTCCATAAATTTCACATATATATATACACAATTTCGCATGATTTCAAATGCAACGTTATGCGATCGTTAAAACCTGAACTTTAAGGTACTTAAATATATTGTTTTTATATAATTTTCTATATTCATTAGGTGTATTTAAGCTGATTATGAAGAGCCTCTAAAATGTTTTTGCAACCCGGGCCATAAAATTGTAGTTGCAGTACTAGTCACAGTCATAGCGTTGAGTTTAGTCATTAATGTGAATACGTACAAAGAGCCTTGAAAAGCATGAAAACTCGACTATTTGATCTCAAAAATCTATTATACTACATGTATGGTTATGAAAATTGCTATTACTTTTATTAATCTGATAAGACGATATATTTCTATTTAAGGTACCAATTTCAGGACCAAATTGCCAGAGTAATGTGTAAATTTCCCGGTATTCTATATTGCTCGTAACACATACAAAATAAAATAAAATCTTTTTTTATTTATGCTGTACTAAATATCAATTAAGATGTATTCATATGATTTTAAACTAACATACCTAAATTAAAAACATTAAATAATAAAAAATAAAATATGTCTCTAGATATTACGTAAATGTTCATAATTATAGATTGGTTGTTGATCGTTTATCTTTTTAAATGTTTGACTTGGTTGGACAGGATTTTAATGTAAAAGTTTAAAAAGAGTTATTAAATACCTCATAAGCAATGCTATTAAGATTAAACGACCGGAGGTGGTGAATCTATCACCAAGGACCTAAAGTAAGATTAAATGATTATGAAGTCACGAAAGAAGAGTTATAATACGACGTCAGCTAACGAAAAATGACGTTGAGTTTTAATAGCATTAATTCGGTGTTGATTTCTTAACGTTACAACGTGGGTGGTATTTTCCGTAAATTGCGGAAGTTTACCAAGAACACTAATCGTTTTCATTATACTTAAATATAAGATAAAAGACAAAAAATGTTTAAAAACATTCACACTACAATGGTATATAAGTATATAGTAGATTGGGAAAAAAAATTCGTACTTATTAAAATGATGGTATTTGGTAACGGATATTGAATTTTTTCCTAAAAAGAACAAAATTTAAAACAGAATAACAGTTATACTAAAATAACCTGATGTTAATATAAAAACTTATGATTTATTCAAAATTTCTTGAATATAAATAATAACTTAAATATACATAGTCTTTTTTTTTTCACGCATATAGATTATTTTCACCGTCCCAAGTCATACGCATTATATTTGCAGTACTTATCTGGTTTTTTCACATTTGAGTTTGTAATTTTGGCTCAAATATCTAATAGCAAAAATTTAAAGCTATAAATCTCTTTATCTGGATCGTGGTTATTGATCACTGATTAAAATATAGAATTTTAAATAATTTATAATCGTTTCAATTTCTACACCAATTCAATAAAATATATTGAATATGTGTAGAAACTGAAACATTAACAGTATTGAATGATCATTATTATATATATATTTTTTTTTTTTGTATAAGTCCAATGCAATAACTAATGTTTCAATTT